TCAGATTTTTTCCTAAATTTTTATCAATAGCCCAAAAGAATTATTTTCATTTGGTCCAAAATTATAAAAATAAATAAAGAAAAGTACATAAAAATGTTAGACCAAAATCTCCTTCATCAATAATTTAAAATCTCTTTCTTTCAAATACAATAAGAGGAGACAGTCCAGTCTACGAAGGTGTATATGATAAAGAGAAATATTGTCCACTTTCATAAAATGCGGGGGATTTTATGCATGATGCAGGTGATGTGGAAATACTTCTCAATACATGTCACACCAGCATGATGTGAGTGACTTGGCAGATGCGCATGTGTTTTGTGATAAAAATGTCAATTATTTAGTTATGCTTCACATGGTTGTTTATACATTCATGAGACTTGCATACTAAGAATACACCTTCTGTACATTGGTCGGAATTGCAAAAGGTAGAAATGTACGTCATCTTGGATGACATCTGACATTTGAGTTGAACATGTGCTCATAAGATCAGACTTTGTACTACCTTATATCCGCATATATTAGTTACTAATCCCTTGAGATAAATACCCTTCGAAATACACATGTACATGAATATCAATGACTTGTCTCACAGCAAGCAATCACATACTAAAATTGAATAAGACAGACATTCTCATCCTTAAACTTCTCCTGAAAATAGAATGTGTGAGCAAATTGAAAATATAATACATTTTCTCATGCTCTGTAATAAGATTTTTTGTCTATTTTACTATTTGTGAAATTCAGGAATATCAGATGTTTTAAGATTTTCTAATACTTGGCTGAAATATTATGAAAATATTTAAAAAATAGATCTTTTCTAATTTATTTTATTTAATCTGATTTAATTTACATCTGATTTATTGAATAGGTGCAATAAATTATATAATATAACCCTACTTGTCAACAGGTAGAATTGATATATCTAAGGGTGCAATAAATTATATTTCTGCTTGTCGATCGATAGAAACGATATATCCAAAGGTGCATTAAATTATATCTCTGCTTGTCAGTCAGTCGGTAGAATTATAAAATAAATTATTATTATACTGGTATCTTTTTAATTATCTTTTAAAATCCCACTAAATTTTATTTTTTTATTTTTTACCACAGTCATCTCTGCCTGCGTTTCCCTCATCGCCTTAGCCTGGGCATTGACAGCATACCACAAAGCTCTCAGAGAATCTCGCGATGATAAAGAAAACATTCAATACTGTGGCATACTGTTCCAGCTAATATGGCGACTCTTCACCATCGGGGCTCGCGTAGTTGCTCTTGCACTTTTTGCAACTACATACCTGTGGATTGTGTTCATTGTCGTTATTATACACTGGTTTGCGATGTTTATGTGGCTAGTGTTTCAAAAAACCCAATTCTGCTTGACACAAACAGAAGAGCTTATCTTTGATGCTGTCATCGGAATTGTTTATATTTTCTGCTATTTCAACATGAAGGAAGGACGAAGTCGATTCCGTATGTCTGCATTTTATAGCATTATTTTTTTGGAGAATACATTATTGATTTTTCTCTGGTACTTAGGACGGGACAAAGACTATATTTACACAATACCGGCAATATTAATCGTCACGATTGGATTTTTGATTGGTATAATCTTCATGGTGCTATATTATCTTCTACTTCATCCCACTGGTAATATTCAGTGCTGTGTACGACTACAAACTAAAAGTACGTCATTACATTCTATTCAGCTTGATACTGTTGTGGATGGACAAAGTGATCGCGTTGATGGTCTGCGAACAAAACAGGTTTTCATGAGTCCTTGTGAGGCACACTTCTTTAAGCGTCAGCATAGATCACTGACGTGGGGCGGTGGCTGGCAGAATATGCAGTTAGCTCGTAATAGTGCACATGCTGATACCAATAATGTCGCTGTTCATACATATAGTGCGTTGCCGCAGAATGTCATTTATGATGAAGTTGATAATGTTAGTGTTGATAGTCAGAAAGAGTGCGAGGCCACTGTCTAGTAACAGTACAGATTTCTCATGATTCCTTGAAATGTCATGTGATGTTGCTACCCACAATTCATTGCAATTCTTGATCAAGCATGATATGGTTGCAAATTTTCACAACCTTAGAAATTTTCAGTCACATTATAAGCTGCCCTTCACAACTACAATGTACACGCACGCCAGTACAATCAAGTCATTTTATCAGAGAGATTTAAGGATTAACTTATTTTCTTTTTGTGATGAGGAGCCTTATTTTTGTTGATTGAGGGCGGTAGTCACTGTGCCACGTCCTGTTCAGTATGGGACTCAAAGCGACTTACACAAGGTGTTTAAAACGCATTGTTTGTCATTTAAAAAACAAAACATGAGAATACAATATTTAGTTTAAAAAAAAAAATTCAATTCTCCTCGCCAAGATTTACTCAGGTACCCCCTGAGATGGCATGATATGCAAAGTCACCACCATTCATAAGTTGGTGGTGTGAAGGGGCTGTATTGTTGTTATGTTTTATATTTTTATTTATTAAATTATTTTAGCCTGAAAGCTGTTGAATGATAGTGAGTGCAATAGTTCCATATAAAGCTGTATTCTGAGATGGTGCTTGTAGGTATTGAAGTGTTTTTAAACATATGTTTAATAATCCTCACATATTTCCTGCAATTTCCACATACTGGTAATCCATTTTTTTTTTTTTTTTAAGTAAGTATTTAATTATTTTTCATATTCCATTTTATTTTTTTAATTGTATTATTTATTTGCTAGTTTTTTTTTTTCAAGTTTTTTTAAACATGAAAGCCCTTAGGATTTATGTGACAAAAATTAAAAAAAATACAAAATGAGATAAAAGTATGTAATAAAACTAATAATTACAAAATATTAAAAAAATTAAGTAAAAGTGAAATAATATATGTAAAAAGCATAAATTCAGTACAATACATCAGAGACTGTTCAAATCATACCATCAGATTCCTCAAATTTTATAAATTAGTGAAAAACTAATTGTCAACTCAGAGAATACAGTTAAAGTTTGAAGCTCAAATCTTATCTGAGCATTACAGTGTATAATCACAAAGTGCTGCATAAAACACACACACTAAGTGTATAAACAGGGTTCAAATATTGTTCGTGAAAACTTCTCATTGTTCATAGAAATTTAGAGAATTTAATAGAAATTGAGTGTTATACCATCCAGTGAATAACTGTGGTAAGTGAGAGTGTAAAATAGAATGTTTCATGTTTAGGCACAAAAACGTTTAAATGTTTCTTTTCTATGCTTCAAAAAACAATGCAGATGCTAGTTTTTTTTTTCAACAACAACAACAACAACAACAACAACAACAACAACAACAAATGAATTGTCATAAAACATTTTAATTGTTTATGAAAATTGGGAAAATAACTGAAAAATGACCCAGTAACTTGAATATTGTTTTCAGGCCCTGTGTTAAATATATTTACAAAAACAAAAACATAAACAAACAAGAAATGTGCAATGTAGTACAAACGTAAGTGGTGTTATAATTGTGTCATTACAATTACTGGTATAATTTATTCAATTTCCCAATCATATAGCAATAGAACTCAAGACTTTATATCACTTGCCTTTTAAGTCTGATTTTATAGTGAATATATCCTACTATTTATTGAATGTTTCTAGGGGTAGAGATGTGCATGCTGCAGTAAAATACATCACCATAAAATATATATATATGACCACTGTTAACCAATAGAACTTTTTAATTATAAATACTGTACTGTCTGTACACACTGTAATTATAGAAAACAACATATACGTTCAATGTACATGTACAGAATATTCTGCGAAATATGGTATATACGACAAACTGCTCTGATTCGCAAACGAAATACTTTTGTGAGTTTCTTGACTTCGCGAAAATCATGAAATTTTGTAGCAGTGAGGATGCTTCTAGGTGTCTACAACAGTGAACACAGAGTGTCAGTGACTTCCACACAATTTTGCCATCACACAAACACAATACAAAATCCTAGCAACAAAAATTAAGCGTTTTACAGTGTTCATGTGCATATGTGGAAGTAATATTCTGCCATAGATTATTGTAGTTTTAGTATTCGTTGTTTTTCGTTTCACTTTGCAGCATAATCAACACATGCAAAATTAAATAGCATCTGTTTACATCAACTTGCTACAGACTTTTGTATACAACTATAACAGTGTACAGGTTAAAATTATATTGTAATTCTACCACCTTTATGTAGATATTTAAAGGGGGGGTCGTCACCCGCGCATCTGTCAGATGGCTATAGGGTGTCACTGTTTACAAACAAGCGTCTACCCATGAGCCTTTGCATTTTTAGTGTGTGTTGTTATCGTCGCTTGGAACTCAATTCCCGCGCATGCGCAAGTG